TTAACGTTTAGATATTTTTGAGAGGGAGAGACAGAGTGTGAGCAGGGGGAGGGGCAGAGACAGAGGGAAACACAGAATCCGAAGCAGCTCCAGGCTCTGAGCTGTCAACACAGACACGGGGCTTGAACCCATGAACCGCGAGATCATGACCTGAGCCGAAGTCGGACGCTTAACCGTCTGGTGCCCCAATTATTCCTCAGTTTTAAAACAGGTGGTAAGTAAATCAATAAGCCGAGGTTGGGAGAAGCCTGCTTGGTGAGTGTGTGATCAGGGTGAAAGCAGCTGGGGAATGAGCTGTCACTCACAGCGCACACCTTGACGTTGACATCTTTGCGTTTGGGCTGAATCTCTACATTGGGGTTTCTACCCCGATTCTCTGTGTCATTTACTGTGATGGCAACTACTTCCTTTAAGGTGACTTTCTGTGGTTGTGTCTGCTTAAAAATGTGTGAACAGCTCCCTCTGTCTTCATCTTAGGGGCCTCCCTGTGTCTTAGAGGACTGGCCATGTGCGTATTTCCAGCTACCTAGAGCTTGTTTTACTGGTCTAACTGGCCGTGTTTTGCAGCACCCATTCTATTTGCAAACCACCTGTGGAGTTTTGGAAATTATTTTCATCCGAGATCAGAAAAGGGATAGCATTTTGACTTTATGATTGAAATAGAACAAAAGCGTGCTGCAGACGGAGGAAAGGGGCTAGCAAAGCATATCGTGAGGGAACCCTAAGCTCGGAGTTCTCCGCGGTAGTGTGCGCCTAGATTCACAGATCAGTCCGGACAGTCACCCTGAGCAATGCTGCCCTAAGCCTCTAGAAAGGACCTAGGGATCTGTCCCTTTCTCCTCTCCTCAGCCGCGCAGCCCCACCCCAGAGAGACAAGCAGCTCTAAGTCACTGAGGGGCCCTGATGGGGACAGAGCTTTCACCGAGAGTGACCAGGACGGGGTGCAGGGATCTCTGGACATTCTCTCTGGATCCCTCGACCTTTCTGGGATCCATTTCTTCTCGGATTGCTTCCTGCCATGTCTTCTCTTCCCTCCTACACAGCAACAAGGACCGAGACCATTCTGCCGCTTAGCGGGAGGCACCCTCCAACTTAAAAGTCATCGGGGAAGGAGGCTGGGACAGGACAAGAACTCCACTTCTGGTCTGGGGGAAAGAACGCCCATCCCTACCCCTGAGAAGGGACACCATTAGAGAGACCAGACCCTGGCCACCATACGCCCACCCCTGGGGGCTCCTGCTGTCACCACGGCAGTCCACACAGACAAGAGTATAAAGCTAAATCTGAGCTCCCTGTCCTGAGACTCTACTTGAATGACAGCAAAGGAAATGAAAGTGTATGAATTTGTGCTGAAGCAGCAACCAAAGGACATTTGGAGGGAAAATGGCTGAAAGGACCTAACTGAGCACCGCAGAAGCCCGGAGAAGCCTGGGAGTAAAGGTAGCACAGAGAATGGTCTGTGGCACCTCCACTGTCCCTGCTCCCATATCCCCCCGGGAAGCACAGGACACACAGTCACCCCGGAAGGCGGAGACCCGCGTCTTGACAAACTGAACCTGCTTGCCAAAGAGACCTACACATTCAGACTGGTCCCTGCCTGGTTGCCCAGAATGTCGCCCAGCCCCCAGGCACAAAGCTAGCAACTCGCCTCCCGGCACCTCTGGTTTCTGTGGACAGATAGGCAGGGGCCGCCGAACACTTGAGGATGGCAGCCACAGAAAAGACGGAGACCAAAAATGAAATACAGGGGCAGGGAAATGCAGGAAACAAATCAACCATTTCGGAAAAGACTGCATCTATTAAACAGCAGACTTCCAGGGCACCTGGGTGGCTCAGTGGGTTAAGCGTCTGACTCAGCTCAGGTCATGATTTTGCCGCTTGTGAATTCAAGCCTCGTGTTGGGCTCAGTGCTGACAGCTCGGAGCCTGGAGCCTGCTTCGGATCCTGTGTCTCCCTCTCTCTCTGCCCCTCCCCCACTCGCTCGTGCGCGTGGGCGCACACTCTCTCACTCTCTCTCGCTCTCTCAGAAATAATTAAACATTTTAAAAAAACCAGCAGATTTCCATGAGGAAGAAAAACTCTGAGGGCAAGAAAGAACTGATTGCCAACGTAAACATATAGCAGAAGGGTTGGAAGACGGTCTGTCGACCTCCCAGAAAGTAGAGCAAAAAGACAGGAGGAAAACCAGGAAGGTGCGAGCGAAGGCAGGTGCAGTGAGAGAGTCCAGGAGATGCCACGCTGCGAATGGAGAAGCGTTCCACAACGAGAGGGTGGGCTTAAGGAACTCACTAAAGAAATAAGAAGATTTCCCAGAGTTGGAAACAAACCAAGCTCGACTGAAGGGATCCATCAAACATCCAAAACTGAAGAAGGAAAGAGCACCCACGCCTTAAATCCAGATGCCTCCTAGCGGACAAGTTCTAAGCTCCATTCACCGGTCTCAACCAAGCAGAAGGACAGAATCAAGGCACGTTCAGACACAGCCGGGAGAAACGTGACCCATTGCGTCTCGTTCTTGGAAAGCTAGCGGAAAGATACAGGCCAGCAAGGTGAAAGGGCAAAGCAGGACAGAAGGTACAGGACACGGAAAGGAGTGGGTCCAGCCCCAGAGTGCAGCGGAGAAGAGTCGCCTTCGGGTGGGGGGCAAGATACGGAGGATGGTTCGCGACCACGTGCTTGGGCTTTAAGCAGCTTTGGGGTAGGATCCAGAAAGAAGAAAGGGAAGTAAGCAGGAGCCATGAAAATCTGCTTCTTCAGTTGGACGCATTGCTTGTGGATGTTTTCTCCGATTCTGGTTAGGGTGAGCTGGGGGGAAGGGGGTGTCCCCGCTCAGCTTCCAACCACGCCCCGCTCAGGGCCCGGAGACACCGCCAGGCTGTTGGTTCCTAGGCCGCTCGCAAACCTTGTGTGTGTAGTGGCTAAGCCTTCCCATCGACCCCACCCACGACCCCACCCACGCGCGGGGGCCGCAAGGCCGGGGTTCGGGCAGCTATCCCCTCCGCCTCCCCCTCAGCCTCCAGGCTAGATTTCCAAATTTAAAATTCTAAAGAGAGAAAGTTAGGAGGCCATGGTCCTCTGCGCTTCCCTCCCAGTCACTCTGCCACCTTCCTAGCTGTCCTGCCAGGTTACCATCTCAGGTGCAGCTCAAGCCTGGTCACCGGAGCCATAACCCTTGGGCCTCGGGTACCCACACCTTGGCGAGCACAGAAGGGTGGCCCTAAACTCTGCTTCCTGCCCCTTGTGTGGGCCATGTCTCAGCGGCCAGCACACATTGGTTGAGACGCCTCGTATCCAAGTTCAACTCATCATGCACCCCAGTGGCCGCCCCCCACCCCCGGCAAGAATTTCACGGATTGATACCCAAAAGCGGTAAGGCTCTAAACACAAGTCCTGAGAGTATAGTTTCTTTCCTCTCGTATAATTGGCTCAGCCTCTCGCCAGGCCATCTGCAAGTCACGTGTCCCTGGGCTCCCCCGAATTCCCCGTGGGTCTGGAGCCACAAAGTGTGACATGAGAGCCCCAACCCCCGCCCCTCGGTTCCTCCTTTCTGTCGGTGACACTGTGCTGGGGCTGCACGTTGCGGGGCGAGGTGGGGCGGGGACTGGGGGGATGGTGGCGGGACTCAGGGGCGTGTGTGAACTATCAACACGGTCCAGTACCGGACCATGCCTCGTGCATGCACCACACATCCGTCCTCTTGTAATAAGCTTAGGTGTAGAATATTGCTTTTACAGAACACGTTTGTTTATTTGTTGTAAATAAACATTTAATATTTTTTAAATGTAGCTCAATTTCTTTACAACCTCGTTCGGTATTCTGTTTTTTTAACGTAACACAAATCTAAAAATTGGTTTCTCTTAACCTCTAAGGGGCCCCAGTTTCTGCATATTTACTTCACAACCAGCCAACTGGCTCACCTTGCCTTCATTTCTTACTCTGGTTGAGTCTTGTGGCCTTTCCAGGTACGTGGTGACGTACAGCATCGCAAATGATGGTTTTGTCTCCACCCAACTATATAGGCGGGTCCCGAGTCTCGTTATCCGTTTGTACCATGACGTTCAGACAACCTCACAGCGGGCCCACCAGACCCTGCAGTCAGGCCCCAGCTCCCCTGTAAACCGTGTCTCCCTCCGGCCTCTAAACTCACCCCTTCCGCAGATGCATTTCACGAGGCAGCTGAGCTCTTGCTGGGTTTCCCAAAAATCACACCAAGCATTTTGGCACACGTCTGCAGGAACAGATGGAGTGGGGGTGAAACGCAGGCTCAAGAAGCATTGCAGAAGACAAATGTTCACAGCGTGGGGGCTGAGTGACCGCAGAGGGAGAACCAGGTCTCTGGTCTGGGGCCCGGCATGACAGTGCGGTGAGAGATAACAGATACAGACATCAGATCCTTGGCGTAGATAGACAGGCAGCTAGCTCGGAGAGACGTGTGCTAGGGGACATGCCCTCTTCCTTGTTGCGAGGAGAGTTACTATTTTCTGTCACCCTCACAGACCAAGGCCGCACCAGGGTCTCGGAGTCGTTGGATCATGCCTTCCTAATGCTCCCCGGCCACTGCCTGGGAATGGCTCTCTTCAACTTATACTACAACTACGGACTCCAGAAGTTATGCGAAACCAGGAACCTGAGCCAGTCTGAGTGTAATAAATTTTGTGAGTATCGCAAATGGAGATCCGCCCTCCCACAGGATACAAGTCAACGGGTCTGGGCATATTCACAAGGCTGTACAAGGAACACCACGATCCCAGTTCGAGAACATTTCCATCTGACCAAAAAGAAACGTCCTCCATTCACACTCCTTCCCCATTCCCTTCTCCCCATAGCCCCTGGCAGCCACAAAATCTACTTTCTGTCTCTGTGGATCTGCCTCTTGTGGACATTTCATATAAATGGAATCACACAGTACGTGGTCCTTTATGTGTGCCTCCTTCCACTTGGAGTAATGTTTGCAAGGTTCACGTCCGTTGTAGCAGGTATTAGTCCCTTGTTCCCTTTTTGCGGCTGAATACTATCCCATTGTGTGAAGGGACCACAATTCGTTCGTGTGTTCATCCGGTGATGGACATGTGGGCTGTTTCCACTTTTTGGCAGTTATGAATAGTGCTGCCGCGAACATCCACGTTCCAGCTTTCGCGTGGACGTGTTTTCAGTTCCCTGGAGTCCATACCTACAAGCAAATATGTGGCTTAGCTCTTTGAGGAGTCACCAAACTGCTTTCTGTGGTGGCTGAGCCCATTTTACATTTTTGCCAGCGATATAAGACGGGTCCAATTTGTCCACATGCTCTCCAACACCTTGCAAAATTATCTATTTTTTTCAATTGTGGCAAAATGTATATAAAGTTCACCATTTTGTCCGTTTGTGAGCATAAGTTCAGCGGCATGAAGCACAGTCACACTGTTGAGCAGCAATTGCTACCGTCCGTCTCCAGAACTTTTTAAGTTTCATTTATTTATTTTGAGAGAGAGAGAGAGAGAGAGAGAGAGAGTCCCAAGCAGACCCTGCCCTGTCACTGCAGAGCCCAACACGGGGCTCGAACTCACAAACGAAGAGATCATGAGCTGAGCTGAAATCAAGAGTCGGACGCTCAGCCCGCTGAGCCGCCCAGGCACCCCTGTCTCTTTTTTCACCCTGCACAACCGAAACTCTGTCCCCATGAAATTCTGATGCCCCCTCCTGCGGCCACCATTTCACTTTCTAACTCTGTGAATTCAACTACCCTAGGTACCTCCTATGAAATGGCTTAATTTCTTACTTCCTTTCATGTGTATTCTAGAGCTATCTTCTTTGTGGTCACCACCCACCCTTCAGTTCTGACGTTGCATTTTGAGTTTGCGCGAGCTTAACTTCCATAACACAAAAACTGCTCCTATACCACCTGTACCCACTCCCTTTCAGTGACTGTGTGTTGTGTATCCAGAATCATGGAGTGGTCATTGTTTTTATGCAGTTTCTTCAGTGGTGTAGAAAACCACAAGCGGAGTTACAAAGCCGACTTGCAGTAATGCTGGTTCTTATCACTGTCCCTGTGTTTACCATCGCCAGACATCTTTATTATTTTGATCTCTGCATCCTGATACGGTCGATGTCCATTACGCATTATTAAATGAAACTAGTGAGTTGGAGAAAATAATGCATGGTATCACTCCATTTATATTGTAAAAGATTGTATCTCGAAAGGGTAGAAGGATTAAACAAAACTATCACAACAGTTTGGGTGAGTGGAGAAGTAACTTTATTCTCTCCCTGGTCCGTGTTCCTTTTCCCCAGGGTGTATTTACAGCATAATTTTAAAATACACATATTTAGGGGCTCCTGGGTGGCTCAGTCGGTTAAGTGTCTGACTTCAGCTCAGGTCATGATCTCACAGTCCATAAGTTCGAGCCCCACATAGGGCTCTGTGCTGACAACTCAGAGCCTGGAGCCCGCTTCGGATTCTGTGTCTCCCTCTCTCTGACCCTCCCCCGTTCATGCTGTCTCTCTGTCTCAAGAATAAACATTAAAAAAAAATTTTTTTAATAAAATAGACATATTTAAAAGAAAAATCTTAAAGCAGATCAGATTAAAAAGAGGGGAATAGGGGCGCCTGGGTGGCGCAGTCGGTTAAGCGTCCGACTTCAGCTCAGGTCACGATCTCGCGGTCCGTGAGTTCGAGCCCCGCGTCAGGCTCTGGGCTGATGGCTCGGAGCCTGGAGCCTGTTTCCGATTCTGTGTCTCCCTCTCTCTCTGCCCCTCCCCCGTTCATACTCTGTCTCTCTCTGTCCCAAAAATAAATAAACGTTGAAAAAAAAATTTAAAAAAAAAAAAAAAAAGAGGGGAATAGAGGGGGCACCTGGGTGGCTCAGTTGGTTAACCATCACACTTCAGCTCAGGTCATGATCTTGTGGTTCGTGAGTTCGAGCCCCATGTCGGGTTCTGTGCTGACAGCTCAGAGCCTGGAGCCTGCTTTGGGTTCTGTGTCTCTCTCTCTGCCCCTCTCCTGCTCACGATCTGTCTCTCTCTCTCTCAAAAATAAATAAACATTTAAAAAATTAAAAAGAAAATATTTTCTAAGAATTAAAAAAAAAGAGGGGAATAGAGGCTCTCAAATGTTTTTACGTGACTGGTTGTTTGAAGCTGTAGGGGACTGAAGACAGATCAAAGAACCAAACGCAGAAATATCTTGCATTTCAAACAGCTGTCACGTGGACAGGGCGAGGTCCTTGATTTTACTGCATTATTTGCACAGATGATGGGTTGTCGCAAGAAAAGCAAAGTGTAGCTCATGTTTACCATCTGCCGGGATGTGGTGACAGCACTGGTGACGCACATGTGGCATTCCAATGGTACTTGCTCTGGTAGAAATTTGCCCACTATAGGTAGAAGGTGAGGAAAAGCCGGGAAACCACCCAAAGTTTGGTAACACCTGCTTTTTCCCCGTTAGTAGAGGGATACACGGTCCAGGAGAGCGTCTACGCCTGGGAGTCCCTCGGGATGGGGAAGTACTTGGCAGCCCTTGCCATCTTGGGGTCTGTGTACCTCATCCTGCTTTTCCTCATTGAAACCAATGTCTTGTGGGAATTGAAAGCCAGGTTTTCTGACCTCAACGGGAAACAAGAATCGGTGAGTGGGTCAGAGAGTGACTCTCAAAGCACGGGTGAACGGGCTGGCTCACGGCCTCCTGTTTGTGGTCGGGAGTGGCCTTGACTCTCAGCATCTGACGAGAGACCGTAATCCACCCCCAGGGCAGAGGGGGTGACAGCCAGTGCCGGGGACCCCGTGGCTCTGGAGGGACAGGGAGGGGGGAGGGATGGCTTGGCTCCTGTGACGCTGGTCAGCCGAGCAGAAGCAAAACCAGTCCCCTTTCTGGAACGCCTCTTCCCCACGTTCCTCCAGGAGCCTGATAGGAGAAAGGTCTGTTCTGTCAGCTCTTGGTCTGAGAATCTTCCAGAGGCAAAAGTCCCACAAGGACTTTAGAAACTCTAGAAAATGGACTTGTGCCTTCACATCCCCAGGCTTCAAGTCTTTGAATTTTTCCCAAAAGGAAAAGCCACGTGGAATTTCCACATCCACCATACCCTGGCCACACGGCTGTGAGCTTGGTCCGGAATACCCACATTGGCCCCGGGGGAAGGGGCGGTGGGGTGTGCGTGAGGCCTCCACCTCCCGCCCTCGCAAAAGCGCTCACCCTTCCCACCCTTGTCTGGGGAAAGCAGGTAATGTTGCAGAAGGTAACATCCATGCCCAGAGACCAAGATGTGCAAGAGGAGGCAAAAATGGTCCAGACTTCTTTGAAAAAGCTGCGTGAGGAAAACCCACTTGTTCTTAAAGACGTGTCAAAGGTAACATTAGACGTGCCCCAAAGGCAAAGAATCCCAAAGGCGAAGACCATTCTTCGGGTGGCCCTTTGATAAGGAAGCTGCTGCCTGGGCGGGGGAGGGGCCCTGTCTGCTAGCTCCAGCCACCAAGGACTGAGACAGACTGGCAGGGGCGCGTCCTCTGTGAATGAACCGCATCCGAGTTTGTTTGCACCCAGAGTGCCCAAAGACAGGCGTTAGCACCTCAGCCCTCCATCGCATCTTTGCGGGTCCCCTGCAGGACAGGAGGGCCTAGCGTGGGACGGCACCGGAGCCCCAAACCCCAGGAAGCCTCAAGGTTGGACAGGACTGGCTGACCCTCTCCAGGATCTAGAAGGCAGTTTGCAGGGGAGCCCGTGTTGGGGGAAGTGTCAGACAGCTCAGAGCAAACCTGGTTAGTCTGCCCCAGAGCTCCAGCCAGAATTTTACCAAGAGACCCTTCAAACATCCAGGAACTTTGTAGCTTTGTAGTCACCGGTGGCCAAAACAAACCAACAAACCAACAACACAGGCAACATCGAAGGGGTTATGATTTAAGGACAGAAGGGAAGAGGCTTATCCTGGAGAACTAGGCTCTCCGGGTTCGCAGGGGAAAAAGGAGAGCAGACTTCCCTCACCCTGCCAGGAGGGAAGGCAAGGCCAAGCCTGGCACACACCGGCCCCTGGGCCCGGAGGGCAGCCGGGACCTGCCCCAGAATGGAGGTGACAAGCACAGGGGAGGCTCCGGGCTGTTGATCCCCGGACTCCTTACCGAGTGCCTTCTGTCTTGGGCACATCAGGTCTACGGCAGGAAGGTGCCCCTGCTGGCCGTGAACAAGGTGTCCTTCGCTGTCCAGGCAGAGGAGTGCTTTGGCCTTCTTGGTGTCAACGGAGCTGGGAAAACGTCCATCTTCAAAATGCTGACCGGGGAAGAGCCCATCACCTCTGGGGACGCCTTCATCAGGGGCCTCAGCATCAGCTCTCACCTCAGGAAGGTAGGGTGTGACCGGGACGGGGTAGCTGTGTCGGAGGAGGGACCGGAAAGTGCACCTGGGGGTGTGATGCAGGGGTGCACCTGGTCTCAGAAGACCCCCGTGGATCAGGTTTATACGTGCCTCCCAGCCCCACGGCCTCCCTTAGACCTCTTCTCTGAGCTCCCTATCTCTGGTGTCGACTGCTCACAGCCCTCCACATCCCTCCCAAACGGCCCTGCGTCCACCCAGCCTCCCGGCCGCTCCCCTGCACACACCAAGGCCACTCCAGACTTGCGGCCGCTCCCCTGAGCGTGTGAGGCCACTCCAACCTCCCGGCTGGCCTTTCTTGCCTTTTGCGGGGCATCTCATAATGTGGACTGTCCCCCCTGAGAGCTGCAGCCTTCCCCTCTCCTCTGGCTCTTCCCACCATGACCCTTCTTTCCCAGACTCCTCAGGGCTGCAACACCAGCCCTCTGTACTTCTTGCTCCATACTCGCCGCCCCTGCCTGACTTGGTCGTTACCCCACCCCCACCCCCCTGTCTTCGGCCTCCCCCATAGCCACCACAGCCCTGTGCATCAGACCTGCACACGCACGCCTCCTAGTCGGCCTTACTCAGACGTCTCCCAGTTTAAACCCAAACTTACATGATGAGCCCCTCGAACCCGATCCTCTTCTCAGAGTCCCCACCTCAACTACCAGCACCAATTCAACAATGGCCTGGACGTGCTAACAACTGTGCTGGGCCCAGGACTCTCAGTGGCCAGGAGCTCTGGTCACGACAGTGAGTCCCCACCATGCAGGGAGCGGAGAGGAACACGGCAGTAGCTGGCAGTGGAAGGCGGAGGAAGAGACCAACCGGCGGCAGCATAGTTGAACCTGCACTCCACAGCACCAGCCACCGTGTCACCGGGAAGTTCTTCCAATCAGCTGCAGTGTCCGTGACCAAGACCGTGTTCAGAGAGAGAGCAGAAGTGCCCACACAGGCGCGTTCAAGAGTGTGTATTGCCCGGTACAGAGCCTGGCCAGACAACCGCAGCCAACATAAGCCTCTCACGGCTGTGAAACATTTACTGCTCATTTTATCTTTTTTTACCATTGTAAAAATTACGGGTCAGGCTTCTGGCAACAGCAAAGTACATATCTCTGACCGCCTTCCTGGTGATAACTAGAAAAAGAGGACCAAATTCTGAAAACACCTCCAGGGGGCTGAAAAGATGGCAAAGACTGAGCTAGGAGGGAAGAGGGGAGAGGCCCAGGGAGGCAACCAGGTCCGGCCTGGACGGCTGGGAGCTGAGTGCCGCTCTTGGCGCCGAAGTGACAGGCACTGAGTTCCGGGCGAGCACATCCTTTCTTAGAGGGTGGACCCCCAAGGCTGCACCCTGCTGTAGACACGAGCTACATGTAGACAAGCTCATCCAAGGATTGCACAAAGGCCTGGCCTGGTCTCAGTCCCCGAAATGGGGCTGACGGAACCCTGAACCACCAGTGCTCCCAGACACCTGTTGGAGGCAAATGTCCATCTTCTCTGGGAGGAAATGCTATCACTGTGGCTTCAAACGATTTCCAGAAACAGTTATCCAAAGCATTGCTTGGTGAGCAATAAAAAATAAGCAGGTCTGTGTACAAGACAAAATCCCGCCTCCGAAGGATATTACAGAGTGAAGCCTGGAGAGTCAAAGGGCAGACGCTATCCAGGAGAAGGCAAGGAACATGACACACAGTGGAGACAGCCCAAGGGACCCTCCTCCTGGGATTCACACCCTTGAGCAGCCCCTCCCACGCTGGGCCAAGGGTGGGTCTATGCAACCAGCAACACGGTGGAGAAGAGATGGGGTGTCAGCCCCAAGACTGGCTGAGAGGAGAGCCCAGAGCTTCCGTCTGGAATGCGCCCCTTCCCTCACATCCCTCAGGCTGCTGGAAGCTGACTGCCACATCATGAGGACGCTCACAGGGCCCTGTGGAGGGAACGGCCCGAGGGTCCGGAGGCCTGCCCATCGCTACCAGAGGGAGCTCAGAGGCAGATCCCCCAGGCTTCAGGTGACATAGGCCCGGCAGAGAGCCTAAAGGCCGCCTCATGAGAGACCCTGCCCAGAACCACCCAGCCAAGCTGCCCCCAGATTCACAATCTGACCTGCAGAAACCACCGAATAACTAACAAACTACAGCTACGTTTTGGAGTAATGTGTTTTACAGCCATACGTAATAATCTGATACAGAGGATGCGGTGAAAAGGTTTAATGTACGTGTAACTGAAGTCTCAGATGGAAAGGACACAAATATGAGGCAAAGTGGGACTTGAAAACTTAATGTCTATAACATTCCCAAGTTTATGAAAGACATCAAATTATAAATAAGTAAATCCCTATGAATCCTAAGCAGGAGAAATTAAAAGAAATAAATCCCTAGGAACATGATCATAAAACTGCTGAACCACAAACACAGGAGGACCCACTTTGGAAGGAGCAACACTTAGGCCAGCAGATGACTTCTCAACAGAAACGAAAGAGGCCAAAAGACGACAGAATGTCACCCTACAAATGACACAAGTGCTAACGACGAGCCCAGAATGATACATGCAGTCAAGCCATGCTGTAAAAAGAAGGTCAGAAGACGTTTCCAGATAAGCAAAAACTGACAGAACTGATCACCGGTGTATGTGCACCAAATAATGATAATAAATGAGAGCCACCTTTACCCAGAGGGAAAATCATCCCTGAAGGAAGCTCAAAGTCACGCAGAAAGGATTGAAGAGTGATTTAAAGAAAGGGGGGGGGGGGAGAAACATATGAGTTTTGATTAAACAAAGCTATAACAATAGTTTCTCGTGAGGTTTAAAATACATACAAATATTAATGGGGTGCCTGGGTGGCTCGGTCGGTTAAGTGTCCGACTTCGGCTCAGGTCATGATCTCATGGTTCGTGAGTTCGAGCCCCACATTGGGCTCTGTGCTGACAGTTCAGAGCCCGGAGCCTGTTTCAGATTCTGTCTCTGTCTCTCTCTCTCTCTCTCTGCTCCTCCCCGAGCACAAGAATGGGGGCCAGGAATAAGCCACAGAGGGGGACTGTAGGGAAATGAAAACAATAATGTGACCGACGATGAGAAGTGATGGAGAAAGAGGAACACAGAATACGAGAATACGTGGAACACTCAGCCCTGAAAAAGTGGGCAGACCGACATCCAAATACATCAGTAAGTATGTTAAATACAGAGGGACTGAAGGCCCCAAGGAAAACATGATCCAGGAAGATACTCAAACGATGAAACACAAAGTCGACACCCGAGCCAGAAACTCCACCTGGAGGCATGAACCCCGGAGAAATGGAAACCTACATCCACATAAAAACCTGCAGGTGGATGTTCACAGTAGCATTTTTCACAGGAACCAAAAGGTCCATCAGTGGATCCACAGATACACAACACGTGATCCACGCGTACGATGCAACAACGTTCAGCCACGTAAAGGGATGAAATGCTGACGCGCGTGCCACAGCCTGAAAGACACGATGCTCACCGGAAGAAGCCAATTAGAAAAGGGCACATATCAGGGGCACCTGGCTGGCTCAGTCGGTGGAGCCTGTGCCTCTTAATCTCAGCGTCATGAGTTTGAGCCCCATGTTGGGGGCAGAGACTACTCAAGTTAAAAAAAAATGTTAAGGGGGCACCTGGGTGACTCAGTCTGACTTCGGCTCAGATCATGATCTCATGGTTTATGAGTCTGGGCCCCACATCGGGCTCTGTGCTGACAGCTCGGAGCCTGCAGCCTGTTTCGGATTCTGTGTCTCCCTCTCTCTCTGCCCCTCCCCAACTCACGCTCTGTCTTTGTCTCAAAAATAAACATAAAAACATAAAATATATATACATATTATAAAATAAAATAAA